ATAAATAATAATAATAAAATATAATAAATTAAGGATCTAAAGAGAGGCAAATAGACAGAAAAATATAAGGATAAGGGCAAATACTAGATAAGGGCAAATGAAGTAGAAGTAGTGAGCAAGGCAGGTAAAGGATTTGTGAAAATAAAATAGACGAACATACAAAGATAATTCACAGATAGATAGAGAGAGAGACAAGCAGACATAATAGAGACAAGAGACGCAAACAAACAGAAACAGACAGACAAATAGATTGATAGACATAATAGATATACAGACGCAAACAAACAAAGATAGACAAATAGATTGATAGACATAATAGATATACAGACGCAAACAAACAAAGATAGACAAATAGATTGATAGACATAATAGATATACAGACGCAAACAGAAACAGACAGACAAATAGATTGATAGACATAATAGATATACAGACGCAAACAAACAGAAACAGACAGACAAATAGATTGATAGACATAATAGATATACAGACGCAAACAAACAGAAACAGACAGACAAATAGATTGATAGACATAATAGATATACAGACGCAAAACAAACAGAAACAGACAGACAAATAGATTATAGACATAATAATATACAGACGCAAACAAACAGAAACAGACATACAAATAGATTAATAGACATAATAGATATACAGACGCAAACAAACAGAAACAGACAGACAAATAGATTGACAGACATAATAGATATACAGATAGATCAACAAATAAGAATTCCGATCAGCACCCCCGCCCACACGCCCCCAAACTCCCAGGTGGAGGTGGCGTGCGTGAAGGGCGAGGACGTCCCTGCGGGCTGGGCGCTGGACAGGGACGGAGCCCCGACCACGAACGCCGAGAGGGCGCTGGACGGCTACCTGCTCCCCCTCGGAGGCGACGAGACCCACTCGGGCTACAAGGGCTTCGGTCTCGGCATGATGGTCGAGATCTTCTGCGGCATTCTGACCGGTGGGCTGACGTCCATGTTTTTTTTCTTTTCTTTTCTTTCTTGGGCAACGGGCTGACGTCCATGTTTTTTTTTCTTTCTTTCTTTCTTGGGCAACGTGTTTTGAAATTGGATTTAGAGGTTTGCTTATTAGTTTTCGTTTCTAGACTGGCGTGTTTTAAATCTTAGTTTTCGTATTTTGTTATTTTGTTCCTTTGATATTACCACGTTGAGGTGGTTATTAATGCTGTTTGAGATGTTCGTCGGAATTTTAGGAGATTTGGAGAGTTGAGGACGTTATATTTCTGTACTACTGTATATATTTGTAAAGGTACTCAAAACTGCACACAATTTTGAAGTCTCTCAAAATAAATGAATTAATAAAAACAAAATAAAACTAATATCAATGCTACCATCATAATATTATCAATGTCATTTCTTTGCACATCCCACATGCCACATCCCAACAACCCTGCTAAAGCTTCGCACACTTTTAACCTCCCCCCCCTCCCCCTCACCCAGGAGCTCCATACGGGTCCAACATCCGGGACTGGACCAGGACAGACCGACCAGCTGACCTGAGCCAATGCTTCGTCGCAGTTGACCCGTCCTTCTTTGCACCGGGTTTCGAAGGCCGCATGACAGACCTCATGAACCACTGTCGCAACATGGAACCGGTTGGTCATGGGTATAGCGAGTGTGTGTGTGTGTGTGTGTGTGTGTGTGTGTGTGTGTGTGTGTGTGTGTGTGTGTGTGTGTGTGTGTGTGTGTGTGCGCGGCGCGCGCGCGTGCGTATGTGCGTGTGCATGTTAGCGCGCGCGGGCATGTTGCTGCGTAAACGTACGCGAGTTTATAAACAAACGTCAAAAATGGTTTAAATGAGAATGAATACTTTGAAAAAGGAGATTTGTATTACATTAATCATAACGAACGAAAGTCTATAAATTTAGCAACGATCTATAAATCAACTGAATATTAAGCCTGGGAAATAAGTAAACAACAAACATCACCACTGCAGGAAGCCCCACAGAAGCCCGTCCTAGTAGCAGGAGACCCGGAGCGACTGCACATGCGCAAGGTGGAGCAAGAAGGTGGAATCACGTATCACATCAACCAGATTAATAACTTGGTAAGATTAGTTTAAATCTATTTTGTTTTAAAAGATTGTTTGGTAATGTATTCTGCTGATTTAGTTTAATAATTTCATCCGTTACTGTTCATTGTAATGGCATATGTTATAGTTCGAATCCTATTACATTATTCATTGAATGACAATTTTTTAAAATTATGCGAACGAAATGGTTAATGAAAAGTGACATAAGGAATAAATACTACAAACATGTTGACAATAAGAGAAATAATAAATAAAATTCTCTAGTTAAAATAGTAAAACATACGGGTTACTGGTTTTTCATTGAAATCATTACAATATTCCAATGCACTGTAATATATACTCTGCCTTCTATTGCAGTGGAAGTTGGCAAAGTATCTCGACGTCACTCCATTGCAGCCTTGAATGGGGTAACCGAGCTCGATTTTTGAGAAGCGATCCCGTGTCACTGACAAGCCCTTTCATCACTGGATATATGAATAAACAAGGCTTCATTATTCTTACTTCATTTATCACATTTCCTTCAGTTCATATGGTTGACTTTAATTTGATTTTCACAGCTCAGCATATCTTTGGACATAATCAAGTGTCAACTCTTCTTGTAAAATTTCTTTATTTCATTATTAAAAAAAATAAGTTGGATGAGTAATATAACCTGCTTGTATTGACATAGAATTTTTAATCAGACTTCTCCCAGTCTAGCATGTGAAGTTCAATAAATATATGATACTGCTTTCCAAGAACCTTTACCTTATTTCCTGTATTGTATATGTTATTGATATATTACTTGTATATAAATGCATATAATTTAAAAGTACAGAAACTAATTCATATGGGTATTAATTATATTTATCATTTTATTTTTCATATATTCCATCTACTTTAAATGATTCCTTTGTATTTTCCTCAAGTAATGGCTAGTAATTATAAAGGGTTTCCTTTTGAGGTATATCAACCTGTTTTGGTCTGCATCTTATCTTCAATGAGATTAATCATTTTCTAACAACCTAACACACTAACACCCAATTTTAGATCCAAATGAAAGGTAAATCAAAGTTGAAATTACCAGTTTTCCATATTTTATAACAAAATGATTTCCAAATACATTTGAAAAATTTACAACTTTAACCCTATCACACCATGCTTGTTCTCACACACACATCCAAAAGTTGTACACGAAACATGAGTCATTCACACTATTTTGTCGATGAAGAATAATGCAACAAGGCTCATTGCTACTGAAACCTCACGCACTATAAATATACACTTGCATGTTTTCAGAGCATGCACACATACAACACTTCGCTGACAATGGAGTTAAATATCCCCAGTGAGGAGACTATGCTACAAGCTTTGCCTTAAGCGTGAATGCATAGTAGTAGATGAGGATAGCGAAGATGATGGCCATGGTCTCGGACTGCACCCAGGGACCCTTGTATGCTCCCTAGAAAGTTAAGAGGAAAATAGTTAAATATTCATCTGTGTGCACTTGTTGCTGACTGCAATAAAAACATGGGAGAAAGACAAGACTTCAGACAATGAGAAATAAAATACAGGGAAGGCAAAATAAAACTAAATGGGGAAAAAAATTACAAACATAAAATAGGTATCAAAAATATCTATGCAAGGACAAACAGCAGAACTTGACCAAAAATGTGCAAAGTCGAGGTTTTTAAAATTCAATAAATACTAATTCTCTATCATAAATGACAAAAATATTCTAAAACAATTACAGTGAACCATATATCATGCAGGAACAAATATACACCTGTGCAAACTAGCCAAACGAAGGGTAAACTGGGTAATGTTAAAATAACTGTGGATAAGAGTAAAGCAAGATCAGTACCTGACATACAATTTTGAAATATTAGTGGGGAAAGGGAGATTACTCTCATATGGCATACATTATAGAATTATCATTGAAACTAAATGAAACGAAAGTCCACAAATTAATGCACTCTGACTTCTAAAGACTATCAGACTTTTCCTGTGTACCTACAATGTACTATTTATATCGATCTATAAATGCAAAAGATAACCGAAAACTTACAGGATGGTACAGGTTAATGGTGGCAATGGGTGTGACTGAGGCAGAGTCTTCATTGCCACGCTGAGCCTGTGAAGAATGAAAGAATTCAAGAATGAGTAAACAATAAAAAGTATTTCCTAATTAAATACATTCAATATTTTAACAACACTAATACATGTATCATTGCAACAACACCAAAGGACACAAGCAAAAAAATAAAATGATAATTACAAAACTGAAATACACAAACAAACAAAATAATAAAAACACAGGACTGAGAACAGTACTTCTAGCACCTCACATTCCTTTAGATATTTGATACCAAAAATATGTTTCAAACTACCTTTCTGAGGGCAGCATATCCCTGTTCATCGTAGAGTTTGATGGGGTGATCTCCAGAGGCTGCTGCAGACACATCCTCAATCCAGCTGACCTGCAAACAAATTTCTCTTAGCATCCCTTATCATAACCTAATGGATAACCCATTTTTAAAAAATAAAATCAGTAAAAGACATGAACCACTGCCACTTTCATAGTTAAAGTGTTGGATAATATGTTATATACTTTAAGTAAATAAAAAAAAAAAAAATAAAAAATAAAAAAAAAATTCCAAGACACTTACGCCATATTTCAGACCATCTACAGAGCGTGCAACACCAACGATGCCATCAGCGGTTTCCGCATACAGAGAAACATCCTGTAAAGAGGAGTTTTAATTAAGCATGGAAACTATAGAAAAATTAATACTGGCAAAATGAAATATTGACAAAATACACCAGCCACCACAAAAGCAATTCTAAATTATTTAAATTTTGTACATCACAAATATTACCAAAATGTGCAAATAAACAATTGCCCTGTGGATGGTAACCCCAGTCATTTTTTGCACACAAAAATTCAGGAAAAAAAAAAAAAAAAAAAAAAAAAAGCCTGTCACACAAAAAATAAACATTGTAACAAAGCTAAATTAAATTACTAATAATTATCAATTATTTTGGTCTCAGCCACACCTTTGATGCATACAAATTAAATAAATAATGTTGTTAACCCATGCATTGTCTACTGCAGTTTATTTTGTTTAAACACACACATGGCTTCATTCCCATTTCTTAAACTACTATCATTATAATATAACTATACTATCAGTAATAAAACCACTCTTTCATAAAATACAAGGAATAGGGTAAACATCTGAGGTCTGGCAGGCTCGGTAACTGACTTTGTTGGCCTCTTATCTCCAAAGCTATCTCTGTTAAAACAAATTCTAACTGAAATCATGGTGAACAGGGAACCTATATGCGCTCTTGCAGTGTTATGTGGTCAAGTTGCAAACATACCTTGGCACCATTGGAGCAAGACAGTGTGAAGTCAGCAATGTAGGCAATCTTGGTAACAATAGTTGCATCTCTGGAAGTGAAGCCTACTGCTTCGACCTGCGCTCCTTCACAGGTCTCGCCTACAAGAAAAACACAACATAATTAGAGAGGGGGTGGAGTTGGCAGCAGCAGTCAAAAGGGAAAATACAAGAACATTTAAATTCAAACCAGTTCTAAGGGAGATGGTACTTTTGCTATGGGTGTAATTCTGTGGACAAACATAACAAGCAAGACTATCATTTCTAGGAAAAAATGTTTTAAAATCTTACTATGGTTTTATCTAACTAACCAATGAGAGTGACAATAGTATTTATAGTGGTATGACAAACCCAACCGCAATACCACATTCTGGCAAATATTGCTTGTAGATTTTCTTAGTTTTTATTGTCAAATAAGGGACCAGGCCAAGCTTTATTTTCCAATAGTAATGTTGGTGAAATTTTTGATACAAAAAATAATCTACAGAAATGAATGGTCTACCTACAAATAAAAGAGGCATTTGTTAACAAGAGCAATACATCTTCCAATGTCCCAAGAACATTTTTTAAAAATACTTTTCCTCTACCCAAGAGTGTATTTACACATACTTGAAGAATGGGGTACCAAGCGTACCCTAAAAATCCAAACCTAGCCTTTCTTACCTTCTATTCATGCCCTAGACGGAAGCAAGCCCCCTTATACCCTCTCTTTATTAGCACTTCATGCCAGCTTATAGAAAATACAACATTTAGAACTTTGGCTGTATGAGCATGTTGTGGACTTAGTCTCCGAGTGACAATATGCAGCAGATATTTTTACAATAATAAAGAGGCTGTTTGGTTATGACAATTTCTTATGCTCTATAAGATGGTGGTGTCCATTTCCCGCCATGTGCATCGCCCTCGGTAATATTAACCATGAAAGAGAAAGATTATGGAAAGTGCCGCTTTGAGCACAACTCCATTTGGTGCGACCTCTCAACCTTGATTACAGCACGACTAGTAAGTCCTCAGTTCTGTCAACTTTTCTGACATCTACAAACACTAGTCTATAAGCCTATGATGCTCTCATGACAGTTTGTAGCAAGGGCCATTTCTCTTGGTAATACATCCTTTATGAGAAAATATATAATTTTCTTTGAAACAATGTGAGGTACAAGTTAACAAGAGAGAGAGGGAAATCGACACTGCCATCTTAAAGAGCACAAGAAATATAGTAAAAAGCTGTGGCAGTCTCATATGTACCACAAAATGACATAAATGGTCATTGCATATCACCACTCATGATATGCATGAGGGTGCCTCAAGAAGCCAGAGTTCTTAATGTTCATTTTCTATAAGTTGGCATGAAGTGCTACTATGGGGAGGGGGTTTACAGGGGGCTTGCCCCCCTGTCTAGGGAATAACTAGAAGGTGGGAAAGGTTAGGTTGGGTTGGGTTGGGTTTTTGAGTTCACATAATACCCTGGTTTCGTGACAATCTCTGGAGGGTGCGTTGCTCTCGGTAACACTAACCCAGTGCAAGATAATCTACTATACTTAAACTAAACGACGTTGCGGCCATCTTGTGCTGTGTGATTTGTTACAAATATTTCATTTGGTGCATTTGGGTGTTGCAAATAAATTGCACGTTTTAGATGTATAATAACAATGTTGAAAAGTACCGAGAAAAACTTGTGCACTAGTGTACATTTTAAAAATGCCGCGCAATTCTTCACGCACCTCTTGCCCGTAATATGGGTCAGACATCAATTTGCGCAGTATAAGAAATTTATTTATTATAAATACTCGATATGCGAGAATTACTGATGTATTGTCATATCTTCTGAAACAAATTCTCCTTCGCGCAGGCTTTATCTATGTACGAAACTCAGTTATTAGAATAAATGTACAAAAATGAAACGGCATCATTGTTTTGTTTACAAAAGGAAGGAAAGGATATCGGATGGCGATTTTCAGATTACTGATTTTTTTTTTTTTTTGGCACTACCTTATTTTTGAGCAGCGGTTAAAGTCCAAAGATCATAAGTTCCTTAGAATCACTGGCTCTATCATTTGCATATATTTTACCAAGTAACTTATACCGCATTTCTTGCTAACATAGGAAAATGACATCAAAAACTCTGTGTGAGGGTGTTGTTGACTTGTAGTCTCCGAGTGGTGATATGCAGTGGATATTTTCCTTTGAGGGTAAATATGAGACCACAGCAGCTGTATCTGAGATATATGACTATTTCTTATGCTCTATAAGATGGCGGTATCCATTTCCCTCTATCTCTGTGCTGATCTCGGTAACATTAACCTGGCATATCTTTTAACGCACCGTCCAGCCTACTTCAACTTGTGCTCGTTTGGCCTTGGCTGATTCGACATAAATAGCCATTGACATCAGGGTAATTTCAGGTTTTCCGTGCTACTGATTTTTTCCTTCGAGTTAAAAACATTTTTTACTCCCATAACCAGTGGGATAAAAGGGACTTGTGTACACTATGTGAAACGAGGAAAAATTAGATTTAAATAGTATCACGTACAACAGCAAATCTTCAATAAACACGACAATGTTACAACATCCCTAAAAGAGTATCGGCTCATGAACATCCTTTTTAGACAGGCAATTTGGTCTTTGGCAAAGGTTTTATGGTAGAACAGCTGTCACGAATAGAATACAAAGCCGGTTTTCGAGCTTAATTCCGTACAGCTCCATTACAAACCCATAAACACTTTGTGGAATATCTCGCTGATAATCTAACGTTTCAAATGAACAAATAATATTATAGATAGCGTACGAATTAAGGCCTAACAATCCCATCAAAATATAAACAATCTTAGAACGTCCCAATAACACCTATATTTACAGGGACTCTGAATCAAATTCAACCTCTTAAAATTCTTAAACATACGTGCATATAGCTAAGGTAATAATTCATATGCTTTACCTGCAGCAACAGCCACGAGAGCAGCCAAAATCACAGCCAACACCTTCATCTTCGGTTAATTGAGAGAGAGTGCCACCTTTCGCTTACCGGCGTCTGACAGCGACTGGCTTGAATTCACCCCTGTATCTCGTTATCGTTTTAAAATTAAGGAGTTGAATTTCCTTATTTCAATATACAGTGGTCCTATTATCCTTTTATACGAATTATATAATCTCGCAAAATTACTTGTTTGCTTATTTCTAGTGATAAAATGTTTTAATATTGTTTTTCAAAAGGAACAAGGAATGTTATTGGAACGCGTTGTCAGTACACGTGTTGGAAGAAATTGGAAATGTCAGAGCAGCGGGAGTCAGAAATTTTGGTTCTTTTCTGATAACTTTTAATATATTCTATAATGTAGAATTAGGGAATATTTTGATAACTTCAATTTTATTTATACATGAAACTGATAGTTTTTGTTCGATATATTAATATAATTTTGTGATGAAAGTTGTAAAGATATATATATTCCATGTAAGTCGCGTAATTTCTAAAGATATCTTTATAGTGAGTAACATTTCAATAAAAGGTAGAAAAGCAAATATAAAACGAGAAGTAAGAAAAGAAAATAATATCATCCCAACAATTTGGTATTTGTTTACCCTCATCAGCTGTTCTTTTCCAGTTGTCAAAACCGAAGTCCTTCCCCTAAAACACCCCGAAACTCATGAAAAATCACCATGGACATCAAAGAGAAGTTCAAGTCGTTCATGGATAAACAGAAGATCAGCCTGAAGGCACCATCATCGCAAGCACAGTTAGGAGAGAGCGTAAAATCCGATGACTTCGAAGGAAGAATGGCTGTGACGGGGGATTTATGTAGGAAGTCCAGCCTCTTGAATGATCACATACTGACACCTGAAGCAGAGAAAGCCGTGATAGACAGCATCGAGAGCCTTTATTTCGAGAGCGGGGACGTCGACGTAGGTGAACACGAACTCAAGAAATTCCCACAGGACGTAGACATTCATGTGATCAACGGGATGAGGTCTAGACTAAGGAAGCAGCACGCCATAGTGTCTCGAAGGGTGTCTGATCTCATTATGCAGAAGCAAGGGCTGTGCAGCGAGGAGATGGAGAAGGTCGTGGAGCTGCAGAAGGAGATTTACAAGGAGATTGGCCTGTGCGTTGAAGGCCGGAGGAAGCTGGCCCAGGGGAGGAGTCAGTTCACATCAGCTAGTCTTGGGATTTTAGCCAACTACAGTAAGCGGCAGAAGATTGCCAGTGTTATCCGGTCGCTTAGGACAGTCAGGACGTTACAGATGACAGATGTCCAATTACAGAATCTGTTAAAAGCAGAAGATTACCCTGGGGCCATTCAATTACTGCTTGAGTGCCAGAAAGCTGCAGCGACTTTTAAGCATTTTACTTGTATCTCTGAACTCAGTACCAAGTTACAGGATACTCTTGAGGGTGCAGAGGAGCAGCTAGATGTTGCCTTAGCTAAAGTTGCTGCTAATTTCAATGCTGCTAATTATGAGAAATTGCAGATTGCATATGGTCTCTTGGGGAAAACACAGACGCTCATGGACCAGTTACACATGCACCTTACATCTCATATCCACAATTCAGCCTTCACGATTGTTCTTGGCTATGTAGAGTTGTATAATAGTGTTAATGGTGGAAATGGTAGTATCTCCGGCTCATCATTCTCAAAGATGCAATATTCGGAACTATGCAAATATGTAAATGAGGAAAGCTTCCTCCCATGTCTCATGGATCTAAGCAAATCCATGTGGAACGTCCTAAAGAGTTACCGCAGCATTATCTTGTGGCATGAGGAAAATGAGAAGGCCTCCCAGGAGGAAGTGAATAATGAAAGTCAAGATGCTGAGGAAGCTGCAACATCCAGACGCTACACAAAGCAAAAACTAGAGCATGGACTGTACAGAATATGGCAAGATGTGCAGGCGAAAGTCCGGACCTTTATCCTGGCATCAGACCTCTGTCACTTCAAATTTGATGATTTCCTGAGAATTTTGGATGTCATCAACAAGCTCATTGATGTTGGTGAGTGCTTCTGTGGCAGCAAATCAGAAACGCTCAGAGAATCAATTAAGAAGCAATCAATCAACTACTTCCGCACACACCACAGAGCAAGAATGGAGGAATTACACATGTTTTTGGAGAATGAAGGGTGGGAGGCATGTCCGGTGAAGTCAACGTTCTCAATATATCAGCTGATGGAGTTTAGGTTCCTTAAGGGAAGGGACCTAAGCTTCACAAGAATGTCTACTCCAAGTTCTTCACCGGTTAAAAAGTCAAGTGAGGAAAATTTGCTGACTTTTATCTGTTGTTTAGGATTTCTATCTGTATTCAAGATTTTGTTAGTTACCCTTTGAATTATTTGGAATAATGTCATTGTTATTTGTTATGTTAGGAATATTATTTTCTGATATGATATGATTTTTTGATAAAAGGTGTCTCAATGTTGAAGCTAAAAAAAAAATGTGTTTGTTATAATACTGCTAAGATTAATGGAAATGGAAGCAACAACAGTGCGAATGGTAATCATAGTAGTGAGAGAGATGGTGAGAATGTTTATGATGACAAAAGACTATGGCTGTGGTAAGATTATTTTAGATGATAGTACAGTAATGTGTTACTGAAAATATGAATGCTAATAATTATAATGTTATTGGAATCAGTTGTAAGGATTATTAAGATGAAAACCAATGACATGGTCACTGTTTTGTAATAGAAATAGCTAATAACAAGAACAATTATTTTGTTGTTATCAGATAATGGTAATAATTACAATAATTATAATAGTAATAATGGAAAATACAAAAATACCTCTCATTGTAATGTAGATGAAGGTAGACTTAGGCACACAATTTCTTATGAAAGCTATTCCCACAGTCTCTCAAGTACTTTCTGAGGCCTCTGTGGCATTGGCACTCTGTATGTACAAGTATGATGGAGCATAAAGCTTACTTTGGTGATTTACCATCAGATAAAGAACCATACCAAGCTCTTATCTTGCTGAATGTATGTGGTTGTGGTTTGTTGGCTTTCACCAGAATGTCAAAGGCATGGTAGTTACAGAATCTGCTCTATTGGGGATCCTTTGTTCAAGAATTACCATAGGCTATAAATGCTTATTTTTGCTTTGTACATTGAGTACCTCTCATCTACTCACTACTTTTTAAAGCTTTCACACTCGCTTGCTCTTCATATAATTTTAGACTATAAATAAATACAGTTCCAATCATAGGAATAAGAGGAATCTAATAGAAACACTTGGATCTCCCTAACAGGCAGCAGCTCAGACAAGAGGGACCTCTTTGACCTCTTCAACAGCGATAGCTCACCATTTGACATCGCTACAGAAGAGACAGTCGAGGAGGACATCATGGCCAATGGGGAAGCTGGGGATTCTATTCACATAAGTGATGATGACAGTGAGGATGATGAGGAGTTGATGAAGGATTTCGTAGATGAGCAGACAGGGGAAGCTCCGCAGCCCCATACCAGGCGGAAATTTGACCACAGCAAGGTGAGAGGAGACTTTCTTTCAGTGATTGGTATTAATATTTATATTATTAATATCTTTTGCTCATAGTTTTCTTTTCAGATATATTGCCAAACTATTTTTTTATATATAGAATAGAAAGAATTGATATAAAGAATTTATTGTTTAGATTTTATTCATTTTTGATAGAATGGAATGGGACATTTATGCATGGCACACAGAGCTTAGGTAAATTCCTACAATCCTACATTATTTGTCGATAAATTGACAAAGAGGTCAACAAGCCTGTCATGCCAGAATAGATATTCTTAACCTCTTGAATCCAATTGGTTCACAACAATCACATGGACCAAAATATGGTCATTAGGCTTACGTAAGCAGCCACTCTCCCGGATGTGCGGAGTGTAGGCCGGGTGCATATGAACACTAATGTGTGGTGACAAGACTCTATGCCTCCCCTTTGCAATATTATTGTGCATAAGTGTTTTTAGCTTTTTTGTCATTTTGCAATGTCCATATTTGTCTTTTGATTTACTTTATCTATATGGTAATAAACAGACTATATTATATCTCTATGTTGTAAATAATTCGGGACAAGAATGTTTTTTTAACAATTTGTTATTTGTGTCATTTATTTTATTTTTTGTAATATTCAATTTTCTGTAATGCCACCTGCACCACTGGTCATGGTGACCAGGAATAGGATGCATGGAAATGGCGTCCTCTCTGGAGCTGGCGCTCTTCTATTCATGGCTCATGGACATTACATTCCACACTTGTTTATCAATGGGAATAATGCAATAGCCCTTTTCAAAATGCCAAATGAGTCCAATCACTATCCAAGAGGTTTGTGCACTCATGGTGAGTCTTTTCTGTCACCTCAACCTTCACTCATGATAGTCACATCACCTGGATCAAAGGAATTAAGATTTATTTTTGCTTTTGATGAAGGGAGGATTGTAGAGGTCACTGCATTAGAGAGTTGTGGACATTTACTGTGTGCGGTGTGGCGTAGCTGTAACATTCTGGTCTAGCAATCTTGCGGACCTGCGTTCAATCCTGCGCACTACCAGTGAATGGTAACCCCGGTCATTCCTTGCACACGGGGAGATTTGGAAGCAAATTAAAACAGACAGTATGTCACAGCAAAGAATATCCATTGTAATAAATGGAATTAAAACTAAATCTTTAAATCTTTAACTCTTATCCTCAGGATGATGTGGGGTTCATGTCATGGCTGACTTGGTTTTGGCTTTGAGTAACATGTTATTCACATCACAGATGACTTGGGCATGGCTCCGGGTGATGGGTCATTCGTCTTGTGTTATGATGATTCATGCATTACATTTTATGGTGTTCTTTATAAGGAACTCTCATGCCCATGCCATATGCCTTGTGGCATTGCCTAAATGAGAACAGGATGTGTAATGTTATTATTGGCTCTTATTTTGTATAAAGAGAGAATTTTAGTGCAAATAATTCACCCGCTATGCTTGGAATATTTCACACACCAAAACCTGATTCTCTCTTGCTGTTGATGTGAACCTGAAACCTTCACTCTTTTTTACAAAATCAGTCTGCTCATGTCATCTGCCTATATTGTCTCTTGGTGCTCTGCTAATGTGACTGCCAGTGTGACTGTCTTGAACTGTGACACAAATAAGGGAAGTACTGAAGCTTTAAGGGCAGCAGTCTTGTATATCACTGCATACAATGTCTTATTTTGTAAAAATAAGATTAGCAAAAATGAGTGATTCTTAAAAAAAATTGTCCTTCAATAAAACCCTAGTCTGTCTTGTTCACAGAGTGTAATATACCTTATTTATTTAACTGGACTCTAATATACATACTTAAGCTACTACGGGTTTCATCTAGCAACTAAAATTCATGTCATGCGTCTTTGAATATCCAAAAACATTAAAATCACATTTACATTCAAATGATATGAAGAAGTAAATAAAATCATATCACTTTGGTGGTGGTGCAGCGCAGCAAAAATGGGAACCCCATTTTCTCCTGGAGGCAATAAATATTCTGGTTAATAAAAGTTTCTGGCCTCATCTTTACTCTCTAGAGATTATTTTTATATCTAATGGTGTTGTTTATTTTCTTTATCTTCAGGCAGTTATATTTTAAGCATTAACCTTAATTTTTATTGGATCACAGATAGCAAGTATCTTTTGTTAGTTCAGTAAAAAAAATCAGTGAGTGCTTTCTTCAGATTTATAATTAGTCCAAGTTTATAGGGTGGAATAGGGTCAATTCAAATGTTCTTCTCTTTGTTGTTGATTTTTTTTGTATTGTGTGAAGTTTTATTTTTTATGATAAGTTTCACTCATTCAGAAAACATTTTTCACTATTAGAATGGTGAAAATTATTTTTCTCAAATTGCTGTATTGCTTTGAGAATCATAAAAAAAGAGTAAATAGTTCTGCTTAAGACATGCATGTTAGATTAGACATCAAGATGAAAATCCGATATCATTACCTTGAAGTCTTTTAGTATGCTTTTGTAATATGAAGTTTATGATCCAGTTTAAGCTAATTTATTACAAATTTACTAGTCAACATGCCTTTATTTTTAATGATTGTTAAAAATGTTTTGACATGCACATGGTTCAGCATTGCAATTATTTTCAATCAACAATAGTTGTAAGATGTAACCTTGATATTTGTCATCCCTACTTTTTCCTGAAAAAAATCTCTTCCAACGTATTTATTCTGACAGGCACCCATAGTCACAAATACAACCCTTACAATCCTACGGCTCATTGGGAAATACATCCAGATGATGAGATTGCTGCAGCCTATAGCCTTTGATGTCATGGTGTGCCTCAGTCATCTCTTCGACTATTACCTGTATACAGTCTTCATGTTCTTTGGGGAAAGGTAAGTATGGGGATGCAATTTTTTTCTATTATTGTTGTTTATTTCTTTGTTTGTGCTTGCAGTATTGAAACAAAGGTAACCGATTTTCAATGTGTTACAGGAGCAAGACTGAAATTATTTACCCTTGAATATAACATTCTGATTCTTGTGAATAAGAGAGCTAAAAATACAAAAGCACTTCTAATTATTACTAGTATTTCTGTTTGTTGTTCATGCAGGAAACCAACCACATGTATACAACATTAAGTTTTTAGCTATTAATCAATAACTCATAGCCTATGGATGTAGTGGGATTCACAACATGGCTGACTTAGCCCTTAACTCAGCAAACATGCTATTCACATCAAGGCTGACTTAGATGTGGCTCTGTTCCATGGGTCATTCATGTCATTTTGCAATGTGTGAATTACATTTTATGTTATTCTATGTAAGGAACCCTCATGCCCACACCACATGCTCTAGGGCATTGTCTAAGGGAGAATGGGATGTGTAATGCTATGACTGCCTATTTTTATGTATACAAGATCAGTCTTTTTGTGTCATCTACAGGTTCAGTGTAGCAAGTGAAATACATATCATGCATCTCTTGATATGCAAAAACATTAAATTCAAGTTTTGCATACAAGTAACATAAAAGAAAATCACATTGTATGCAATGAATTCTATGCACCAGCTGCATCTGAAAAAGGCCCTAGAGGCAAACCCATTCTATTGTGCATAGTACCTGGAGCGGAAGCCAAGTGAACCCCATATTCTCCCGGAGGCAATATAGTAATAAGAAACATTACATTTTTATCATAAGTCCAAAGTATTCAATAAATGCCATATATTTTTCATCAACCAGGGGAGAACTGGAACAGAATCTCAGCAGACGACTTCGAACGTCTCTCAAAAGGATCCAGGACACGTTGATTCTCACTTCAGAGGTGCCTCAGGAGGAGCCCACTGATCAGGACAAGGTGAGGGGTACTGTTTTTTAGTTTGCATTTTTATTTTTATTTTTCCACGTCTCTGTTGCTACGTTTTTTGTTGTTGCTGTTACTTTATTCAGTTTTATCTCATTATTGTAATTTGTTTATTTTTGTGTGTGATAATTTGAAATTTATTATGATCATATTTTCGTAGAAAGATCCAGGACAGTTGATTTTGATAATACAGTGATTCAGAATATTTACTAAACTTCGCTATGAGCCTGAAAGATCAATATGTTTCAAATTCATCAAGAGTTCCTCATCTGATGTAGCAGAAATTGAAGTGTTTTTTACAAATTTATGAGAAATTCATAACAATTTGTAAATGTTATGTTTTTATTCCATTTATAGTGTGGCAGTGTTTCTTTTTGTCTTTGTGTACATGTTACTAAGTATATGTTACTATATCATGTAGTTTGACTTTTGTAATTAGGGTCTAAATATCAATATGCAGTAAAAAGTATTCTTCTAAAAATGTTCCTACCACATTTCATGTAGATGACTGTATAGCTGACATTGTTATTATTGCTTCAGACATATTTATAATGATCTTTTTACCTATGTGTCATCTTCTATGATTTTCTGTTTATTGGAAGAAATAGTACACCCGGTATTGACACTAACATATACAGCTATCCTAAACATATATAACTATCTGAACTTGTTATTATGTCATTTATAAAGTGTCAAAATTTTAGTTTTGTATGTTTTTCAACAATCACGATTATAACTACAACATTCATCTACTCTCAAAGTATGCGTCTGTCCAGATTTAATCTCTAAAGTATAATCATAAGAATCAAAATGACAAAATCCAACCCATTCTTTTTCCAGGTGCCGAGTCCCTCCATATCCCCAGTAGTAGACACAACCTCAGCAGAAAGCATATATGGGCTGCCAGTGCGGGTGGTGGCTGTGGAGAGCCTCGCGTTCCTGGCAGTGCAGCTGGAGGCCTTGCACTGCCACATTGAACCTCTCATTCCACAGCAGCGGAGAACATTCTTGCAGCAGTTCTACACAGGCACTGTCAAGATCACCCCTGAGGTAAATTTGTGTGTGTGTGCTTATTTGAAATATATTTGACAATGATACTCTGATTATTAATTTTGTATTACTTAGTAGTGATTTTATTTTGCAAGGAGAGTAGGTGATGCAGATGTTGCTTATGCATAGGTTTTACAGTCTTTATATTATCTCAGCCCTTTAAATATACTATGACTCTTAGCACCTTTCATTGTTTGCATAAACTACTTGACGTCACTCTCAATGTCATGTCAGAAAAGTAAATTAACCCCTTTTTTTATTTGATTAACAGTATTTATAATTTTTATTCTGTGATTACAGATTCGCCACCATGTTTACACAGCTGTAGCCTCTCAAGTGATAGACTACGATGGTATTTTGAACCGCATGTCCAATGTCAAGTGGGATATAAATGACCTGATGAGCCAGCACAGCCAGTATGTCGATGTCCTACTGAGACAACTTCAGGTAAGGTGTTTGTGAGTTGAAATGAAGTCAGATGTCATACTGAAACTAATAAGGGTGGTTATTTGTTTTAGTTTGCGCTGCATATTGTCCTTGTTTGATTTGTCCCTTGTTATTCAGAGAAATGTTATTGTTATTATTTTATGTATCTGTGCATGTCTCTGTATGTGTCTGTGCCTTTGAATATAACATGATTTATTATTGTAATGACCTATAAGTTATGATTTTTTAAATGAAATTATCACAGAAGATTCAGGTTAGGATATTATCTTCAAAGGAGTCAACTAAATAAGGCATATCTATGGTACATACTTTTCTATGGGAAATATTCTACAATGGTCTGCAGGTGGAGGATGTGTACTTTTGCCTAATTCAAGTTCAAATATATAAGGCATTTTAAGCAGGGAAAGTTCTTGCCTAAAATCTCAAGACTTTTTCTGGCTAACTTGAGAATTTCACTTGCTTTCTCAAGTGACCCCTGTAGATGGCTAGACTTGCGCTTGCTAAGTCAAGCGGTGTACTGTCACCATGGCAACAGTGTAATTCGTGTACCGTACTGTTCATAATCCTCGAATACGGGCGTTGGCAAAGAACTCGCTTAATATTTTATCAGAGAAATGATATTTTCATGGTATCTGATTCTGTAATTTCCATAAAATCATATTCAAAGAAATTGAAATTAACAGATAATGAAAGGAGATAATGGAGATTAAGGGAATGAAAAGTTTTTTGCTTATAAATCATAAATCATTATAAGACGAACAATTTATCTCTTACTAAAACTCCTCGTCTCTCAAAATTGAGAATTTATCTACTATTCTATGAAATAGAGAATATTTCAAGTGAAAAAAAGTCTGAGAAATTCTAGCAACATTCTTCTGTTGATATTGTATTTGGTGACTATTATATTTAACTTCATAAAATCATATTTATGGGACTGGGTAGGCCTATATTTTAATTCAGTGAAGTTCATTTGTTTTGATAGTGTGTCAGAGTGTAAGGGTTGCCCATTGGAAGTGTGTGTCACTGTTTTTGAGGCACTTTATATGAACATAGGAGAAAATATTAAGCTTTGTTAAGCAGTTTTGGTAGATTTATTTACTTCTCTGCCATCTTGAGGCGGCGCTAGCTTGTCAGCTGTTTTGAAATGCATGCTCAAATTTCGCATAAGAAAGAAAAGAGGTTGAAACAAAGCCCCGAGCCGCTTGCGTGATTGGTTTAGGGAGACAAAATGGCACAATAAAGTGTGGTAATGGAGGTGGATTTGGGGGTGTAACTAGTCCCAGTTTTATAGCCTTATACTCCTTACCTTCATTTAACAAAAAAAAAAAGAAAGGGAAAATTGCCTTTCAGTTTTTAGAGTCTTTGGTCTATTGTAGCTACTTGAATTGTGACTAGTTGGACTTTAGGGGTGAATGAGTATTGTGATATAAGGGTTAGTGTTTTAAGAGAAGGCAATTTTTCAGGTCTGGTTATTACCAGTTTCAGATCAAGGTTTCCTGTTTTCTTTTTCAGGTTTTGAGCATGAAGTTAGAGGAAGTTAGCAGAGTATCCCCAATACCAGCAGAGGCATACAATGCACTCTGGGAATGTATAGTACGCATAACGAACCGCACTTTGTTGGAGGGTTTTGCTTCTGCTCGAAGGTGCACCAATGAGGGACGATCACTGATGCAACTTGACTATCAGGTAATCTCTAAACCTGAAGATATATAGATATAGATTGATTGATTAATGTTGCATACATGACCTTTATAACACAATTTTCTACATCTATTAAGGTTGATGTATTGATTTTATGGGTGTTCTTTTCCATAAAGAAAATGATGATAATAAATAGATAAGGTTACAAATAAATATAAATCCATTTTAGCTTAGGAGCCATTGAATAGTTGAAAATTTAATATGTACCCCATTCTCCCTCCCATCCTCAGCAATTCCTCATGAAACTTGAGTGCCTAACCAAGGTGCGCCCGCTACCCGATAAGCACCTGGTGGAAACATTCATCAAGGCCTACTACCTGCCTGAAGGAGCGCTGGAGGAGTGGGTGCAACAGAATGGCACCGACTACTCTCCCAGGCAGCTGAATGCCCTTATGTCCACCATGACGCACGTGAACAAGCGCACCCGGCAGAAGATCTCCAATCTGGTCGAGGAGCAGTGTAGGAGGTGATGTGACAGATGGAGAGGGACGTAAGACCTTTCTCTCAACAGGGTAGTGTGGCTCGTGTATTTCAAGGGCTGAAGGATAATCTTTGTCAGAGCTTAGAAAGTTTTCTTAAACTTTTTTTTTTGTTATGTTTCCTTCTCTCCCAAAAGAAATGAAAAAGAACAAAAAAATCTTTTAGTTTCATATTTTATTCCATCTGTTTTTCATCATTCCATCTTCAGTTTTCTTTAAAAGAAATTGACTAGTAATTGTTTCATAAGTATTTTTATAAGCATATAATTTTATACATCATCACAATGGTGCATTCTAAAATACGATTTTCTTCATTTTATCTTTGCTACATTTATTAGCAAATTCTCTCTGTTCTACTTGTACATAAAGTCTGTTTCTATATAAGTTTTCAGTCTTTTCACTCAATGAAATTGCCCTTTAAAGAACAAAATATAATTTTTAAGCAATATTATCTCCTTGATATATATATTTTTAAGGTAATGATCTTGAATAAATTGTTATTGTTCAGAGAGTACTCTGGAGATATTGTAGATGTTTTTGTTTTCTCTTTTTATTTATATAGGAAGATGGTATTGAAGGATATATGAACATGTGCTTTAAGGTGTAAGATAATTTTGTTGTTTAACATTTTGATAAAGTTTTTGCTTTTGTTTTTTAGTTCATGTCAGTTTTTTCCCTAATGAGTTTTGCATTTATCTTAGCCATTATTAGAGTAGAGTCAATATATAAAAGTATATATAAAGGATGATTTTTACCTTTATGTTAAATTTTATTTATTTATCCTGTTCTTGTTCAAACCGTTCCGTTTTGTTTCTTCTTTTTATTATTATCCATTACATGGTGAATGAAATGATTTTGACGTGTAGATTTGCTGTGGTTGAAAGGTTCCTCATAAAATTTGTTGATTGTTGGTTGAGCATACATATTCTTCATCTGTTTTTGTGTTTGAATGTTTGTGTTGAGAAGCATTGCAATTATCACAGATGTAGTATTCAGTCGTAAAGCATTTCTGAATTGATGAAGAGAGCTGAGCATATGAGTCTTAAGACTTTTACCAGTATGATTTATACATGTATAATATAAAAACGCATAAGATTTTGAATGGTGTGTGGCTGAACATAGTAATTTAAATGTACTTAAATCAATGATTATGATAGTGCTGTTTCAGAGCAGCTAAGCCAACAATAACTAGAAATAGCATTGCATGAGATTCTGACTGACAGAAAACAAGCATTTTAGGATGTCTTGTGAAAGAGCTTTAATTCCTGTAAATTTCTAGTGTTACTTTATGTAAGACTTTTCTTTATCACTTCACTTTTTTATCAGGGCTCTTATGTTTGTAAGTGTTGGTGGTGTTTTAATTTCATTTGTTTGTTTTTCTTCATTGAATTTAAATCTCATTATTGATGCCAAAGAAACCACTTTCAATGGTTTACAGTGTTGAATTGTAGTGCATTCTTTCCATGTGATAATCAAATCATTTTTAAGATTATAAGGACAGCTGTGTCATCTATTTTTTCTTTCTGCCATTTTCCTTTCTTTCTTTCTTTTTTTTCTCTGTATGTTATATGTGTCTGTGTTTACAACTTGATTATGCATGTCTTATTCACCAAACATTGAGGTTGTTTAAGTTAAGAGAGGAATATGTCTTCCTTCTGTGTAGTGTGAACCTCGTATTGCAATATGAACTATAAATATCACTATTATGTTAGGTCCTTTTTATTTTATTTTATTCATTTATTATTATTATTTTATTTTATATATTTTTTTATTTTTTATTTTTTTCTTTTTTACTTTCGACTTTTTATTTCTGTTGTTTTAGGTGCTTTACATGATTAACTTGTGTGCAGAAAGAGACGTATGCATGAGCACATGCATGTGATTTCATGTAAGATAACACATTTCCTCACATGCCTTCTTTTACGTGTATTACCAGTACTCTCTACACTACTAACACAGAGGCATCTCAGCATCTGCATACAAGCACCCCTGCCTCCCAATACATACAGGGTTTCGTAACACACTCCTTCTCACTTTCACACAGCACATGAACAGACACTTGTACAAACACATTAAGCTCCACATAAATACAAAACAGACACGACTGCACAAACAAAGCCACATATCCAATGATGGATTAAATGAGTAACAAAATCAGTTGGATGCTATATAAAGTGAATTAATATCACTGTCACCAACTGTGGGATAATTCATAACATGTTTTATGGACAAGATTAGTCTTGAGAAATAGATATATTGAAAAATTGTGTTTTTTAATAAGATATTTTCTCTCTCTCTCTCTCTCTCTCTCTCTCTCTCTCTCTCTCTCTCTCTCTCTCTCTCTCTCTCTCTCTCTCTCTCTCTCTCTCTCTCTCTCTCTCTCTCTCTCTCCCCCCCCCCCTCCCTCCCTCCCTCCTCCCTCTCCTCCCTCCCTCCCTCTCTTCTCTCTTCTCTCTCTCTCTCTCTCTCTCTCTCTCTCTCTCTCTCTCTCCTCTCTCTCCTCTCCTCTCTCCTCTCTCTCTCTCTCTCTCCCTCTCTCTCTCTCTCCTCTCTCCCTCTCCTCTCTCCTTCTCTCTCTCTCTCTCTCTCTCTCCTCTCTCTCTCTCCTCTCTCTCTCTCTCTCTCTCTCTCTCTCTCTCTCTCTCTCTCTCCCTCTCTCCCTCTCCCTCTCCCTCTCCCTCTCCTCTCTCCTCCCTCTCCCTCCCACACTCCACTCCTCCCACTCCCACTCCCACTCTCTTCTCCCTCTCCCTCTCCCTCCCCTCTCCCTCTCCTCTCCTCTCTCTCTCTCCTCTCCTCTCCTCTCTCCTCTCTCTCTCTCTCTCTCTCTTCTTTCTTTCTTTTTTGGTGCTTTATTTTTTTCTATTGACCAATGCAATATATGGTAATGTATGACAAAATGTTGAGAGTTATTTAAAAGATATTTTTCATTAGCACTCCATTGTAATAATATTAACCTTATTGTGGACGTCTGTATACTTTGTAATTATGATTGTCATTGGATATGTATGCTATGCAATGATCATGTATTATTTTGAGTTGCTGAAAGTCTTTTGAGCGTTGTTATTATTCTTTTTTATTATTAGCTATTGTTATTATTATTATCATTATTATTAGCTATTGCAGTTGTTATTATTATTATTATTGTTTATTATTATTATGATTATCTTTAGGTTATCATTATTATTATTATTATTATTATTATTATTATCGTTATTGGTATTATTATTATTATTATTATTATTATTATTATTATTATTATTATTATTATTATTATTATTATTATTATTATTATTATTATTATTATTATTATTATTATTATTATTTATTATTATTATTATTATTATTATTATTATTATGTTATTGTTATTATTATTATTATTTGTTAATTATTATTATTATAAATTTTTTGGTTATCATTTTTATTATTAATTTTATTCATTATTGTTATTGGCATTATTGTCATCATTATTGCCTTTTACTTTTATTTCAGTTTGTATTTTTTTTTTTTTTTATCATCATTGTTGAATTCATTTCATTTAAGCATTTGTTGCTACTGTTTCATTCAAGGTATTTTGACACAGGTAACCCCACTTTATTTTGATGAAAATCCTAGTTGGCAACTTGTCTTTATTAATTGCAAATAGTATTTTTTTTCTGTTTTTCTTGGTCTTGTTTTCAAATATTCTTTCTACCATTGTTATTACTGAATCACTTCACTGAAAAGCCAGTTAGCATAAAATATTGCACAGATTGACCAGGTCAAAAAGAGGGTGGAGCTATGGAGGTCATCACATTTAGCCAATGAGAGTGTGGTGTGAGATATCATTTGTCTAACTTGTAATAATTGCTTGAAGTAAAAACAAAATTCCCCCCTTCTTTACTGTTAAAGGACATTGGGATACTCTTCGGAAAGAGTCAGTTTCATTTTCGGGCTCAGCAGGCTAAATAGAAGTGGAGCTACCTGGTTGTGTGTTGCTTGATTTCATCTAAATATTTTATTACTAAGAATGTTTATATGAAGTTGCTAGTTATAAAATCCAAAGGTGACATATCATGGTTGTCTGGTGAATCTCAAATGCATTTTATGAACTAATTTAGTATGTATCTGTATTCTTTTATTTTTCTTCTTTTAGGGGGTGGGTGAGTGGATGGATGGATGGGTTAGTGGATGAGTGGGTCTGTCTGTGTGTTGGTGAGAGAGAAAGAAAGAGGATTAGAAATAAAGAGAAGAGAGTCCAAGAGAATATGGGAGCCAAAGAAAAACAAAGAGTCGGATATAAAGAGAATTAGACATTGAGTATGAGAGAGCAAATGGAGCAAGGCATAATAATGATAAAACAGAAAACTATGAGAGGTCCGAGGAGAAAAACTATGAAAAAGATTGAAGGATGATTGGAAAAGACAGGCAGATAATGAAAAATTGAGAACTATAAAGCTTGGAATATGAGTGACAAATGGATTGAGTACATGAGATTGGGAAATTTAAAAAATAAGAGAATAAAGTGTTGTTAGGTTTTTCATGTTCAAAATAGGCTTCAACTTATTTTCCAATAAAATAATTAACACCTAGGTTGTTATTGCATTTGAAATATTGAACAGACCTCAGAGCAACAATAGGAAAACAATCAACCTCAGTCCACTAAGGTTGATTTTTATATGATTTTTGTTTTCAAGATTAAAGAAAGTAAAAAAAAAATGTGGTGTTCCCTGCCACAAACCCAAGACCCTCAGCAGAGGTTCAAGCACTCTGGTTGTAGGGAGTCCAAAGGGAAATTTTAATTGTATTTTTGATTATGCAATGTTGCATAGGTGCAGCAAGGGTCTCTTTTAAATTTGTGATGTAAAGAAATAATTTTTGTACACAAAGATATGTCCATTATATATGTAAATAATGTATAAAAAATTCTTAATAAAAGTCTTGATTTTCGTGAAGTCGTGATTTTCCTCTTGAAGATTGTGTGATCATTGCAAATATTGAATAACATGCTGACGAAAAAATATTATTGCTTAATATGGTTGCAGATATTAAATTCTTATTCTTATTGTAAAAAATGAATGAAGAAAAATAAAGTTAGATTCATTACTGAATCCTGAAAGACCATGTTTTTATATTTCTGCTTAACAATTGACATAACTTTCATGTATAAGGATCAAGATAAAGACAAATACCTCATAAGGATCATGAATAAAAGAAAATATGTATATCAATAATATATTAAAGACTTTGTATTTTTACATAAAATCTAGAATTTACAGACCATTAAAACAATCCAGCAAATTGGTGGAACTCAGTTTTGGAGTGAAAACAAACTGGCTACTTATTGATATGAAGCCAAGCTGTTTTTATTGCTACGAGAGGACCAGCTTCTTGCCACCCTAAACAGTCTGTTGGGCTAGTTGGAGGAAGCTGCTTACCAGGCTGAAAGAAGTGCCATTTGCATATCTATCTATTGGAAGGGAATGCATGGCCAGCTATGTGGGATAACCTTGAGTCCTAAAAAAAAAAGTTAGACAAAAATGTTTTTTTCGTTTTTCTTTTTTTTTTTTACCCTGTCTTGTCATTATTCTTATTCATCAGGAGGTCTTGTAGAAGAAATAAGAATGTTACTTTGTACATAAGCTTTACCTTTTTTTCTAAATTGCTTTTTATAGTTAATTACCCACAAGCCATTGCCAGATTAAAGCAGACCACAAAACCTGTAAGTACTTCCTTCCAGGGGCTGCTACAGGGAGCAAAGTGGGAGTGGGGTGGTTGAGGAGGGGGAGGGGGAGGGGAAGAGGTTATGAGGGAAGGCTACAGTATGTATGCATTTTTTTCCCTTGGCAAATTTCAAACAAAATATGAGAAATAATTTATACATACAAAGTGTGATGCGAGAACACTTGGCCACATTTAAGTATGAGAAGCTATCCTGTTTAATGGTGAGGAACAAAAGAACAAAATCTTTAAGTGATATATAAAAAAAAAAAGACAAAGGTACAATCAAATTCACCATCAGATGTAATTATAACACATTCTGGTGCTGAATATGAAACATAAAATACCAAATCCAAATAAAACAAGGTGGTGGTTTAGGTTTCAAAGAAAAAAGGTGAAAAGATTTTTTTTTTAATCTGATTTTAAAAATTGCTCCTGCAAAATGGTGTGAAAAAATAATAACTTGACTAGTTCCATCAACAGGTCTACAGTCCTTCATGGTAATTACCTAAAGCCTTCTTGGCTCAGTAAATGCAACAAAACGAGCTTTCCATGATTTGACTGGTAATCCTAAGTTCTGTACGCTTATAAAAAACTGCTTCTACTACCAAAGTTAATGAACTGCTAATCTCAAAGTGTATTTTAGAGCAATGCATTGCTTTACAACATTTTCTTAAAGACTTTCTTATACTATTCCATGCTAAGAGATATCCCTTATTACGGTTGAGTAAGCCTTTCAAATCCGAAAACTATACACTATAAAAATTTATCAAAAAAGAAAGTTAAGGATTTTCACAACCATGCTCTTCTTATTGATGTTTTTTTTTTTATATTATTCCCTTAAAAATACCCTAAGCAATGTTCAATAATCACTGGCACTTCAGAATATAATAATAAAAGAAGGTATTGGTAGAAGAGAAGTGAAGGAGAAGAGGAGAGAAGAAAAGAAAAGGGAAGAGAGAAAAGCACTATGTACAAAGACTGCACTAGAAGCCTCAGACACACTGATATGATGTGGGCAATTTAACCTATCTTGAAAGGGAGGAGGGAAGTGCTGGGATCAACTGATGGTTATCACTAATAATAGAACTAGTCACATTCAGTATTGCCAGTCTATAGTTCATGTGCATGACATATAACAACCTGAAAATACTGGAGGACAGTTAAGATGGAAGGAATTAACATTTTTTTATATATACCTCTGCAGCAAACATCATCCTTTAAAAGGATATTCCTATGTTATTTCATTAATTTCATAAGAGCCAATTCCTTTTTCTTCTTTTTTTTGTATGTGTTCTCATATCAACACTGCCAATATGATTAACAACAAACCAAAATTAACAAAACACTACAGACCTTCCTCTTTTAATGCTATTATTGCTCACACCACCAACAGAGTTGTTTTAAATGCTAACACTGGGTGCAAATACAAACCTCTTCATCATTTACCTATTTCTCATTCACTAACTACAATTGGAAGTTGTTGTCTTGTCTAGTCCTGCTTGCTCTTGCTTATTTCATTCACCTGGCCTCGATAATAAGTAAGGCATACCTGGGCTAAGCAGGGGACTTTGTGCACATATGAAAACTGATTGTCACTATCTGACATCCAATTCAAGTTCATTTTTCCTAATTACCTCTTTCCTTACCAATATAAAGTCATTATGCAAAGTCTCCACTGAAATTCTTACACATATTTTGCTCGTACTCTTAGCCAGTGACAGAAGTACAATTACAAAACACTATTAATTTTCAACGGCTCACTCTACCCTGCTGTTGTACTTCGAGCCCTTGTTTTCTGATGGCTGGCTAAAGAGCATAACAAAGCAAGCTACATGGAATTCATCCACTACTGTCAAACAGTGGGAGGTAAACCCACAAAAAACAAATTTGTGGAGTCGTCAAAATTATGTTAGAAGCTGCACCTGGGCTAGTTATCAAGTAGCTTTCGGAGGACTCAGCTAATAATTACACAGGATAAAAGACTGAAAAGGAAAGGGGAGACTGTATCAAATATTTACAGAAAGGCTTGACCTTATGACAATAATATGCAAATGTATATTAAGTAACAGACTAATCATTTTTGTAACTCCACTTAACTATGACTATGGTTTCCTCTGACTAATACATAATGATGAATTAAAAAATAACTCATGAAAGCATGATACAAGTGCAAAGGTCAAGCAAAATATGAATATTGATTCCTGGGTCATATACATGCAGGTAAATGCAGCTGCAGAAGCTATAATAAAGAAAAAAAATCCAATGCTTGTACAAAACATGTAAGATTAAACAAAGAATGTAGAAATATGAAGTCCTACAGAAATTGTACAAATTTCAAAGATCTTCAGATGCTGCTCAAAGGAATAGGCAGATATATAGTGAAACAGTATGAAGAGGAAGTAGAAAAAAAGAACAGAAGGCAAAAAGCAGACTTATACAAGAAGAAAGACTAAAATACCCATACACAAAATTTTCTGCAAAATCTTTCATATCATTTCATGACTGAGTTCCTATAATGGTAGATATGTAAATGCCATTCCTAATTAAGTTCAAATGCAATGGCTTTAGTTAATCATTATGGTAAAATGATCTGATCTTTGGTCAGCAATTAACAGTCATTATACAGAGGTGGGTTCATTCCACTATCCAAGTAGGCATTGTACAAGGAAATGTTTCTCTGTTGTAGGTCGTTCAAACATTACTTTGCCTACAGCCAAGAGGGATATCAGCTCAAAAGGTCAGGAATATGTGATACCTCTTACCCAGCCCAAAAGCATGAGAGGCCAAGTAGGAAAGTTGCACACCCACTTTTAGAACTTGTTTAAAACAAGTTCCACATGTGTATCCACTGATTCCTTCAAGATCTCACATTATAAAGCATGGAAAGTAGGTGCATGCAAGAAGGAGTAAGATTGGAGTAGAAATAGGAGGCATACAGGATATATATACACATACAACAGCACACTGGCCATACACCATGGCACCACAACACTCATGAGTTTACATAATCCAAGGACAAACAGAAAATGGACAGGCTCATTCATAACATGAGGAACATGGGTGTAGGGGTTAAGTTCAAGGAATTTTTCTCCAGGATTCATTCTTGACACTGGTCCTCGCCTACGATTTAAAACAAAAAAGTGAGAAAAAATCCGTGATTATCCTTTTCCATTGTCTGTCATCTTATCACTGAGTGTTTTTCATTTTGCATAACACCATTTGTCTGTTGGAGTCAAAAGTATCTAGTGTTCGACCAGCATCTATCAGATTTGAGAGCTGAGATCTTCAGTTTCTTTTTCTTTCAGAAATAGCACTGCAAGGAGCTCTTCCATCTTTGACGTCAGATGATTTAGGCCCTGGAAGAAAAAGGAATTTCAGTATCATAATGTTCTCATATACACAGAGGTACTGTGCATGAACTATAGCTCAACCTACATATAATCATATATACATAAATCTCTATATCTATATATATCTCTATCTATCTATCTATCTATACACACAGACACATATATCAGGGGTGGCCAACCTTTTGTGAGATATAATCTACTTTTTCTACAGTTACCCTGATGCGATCTACCAGCCTAAGATTCAGACATGTCCCAGAAATGTAACTGTAACAGAGTTACACACACACACACACACACACACACACACACACACACACACACACACACACACACACACACGCACACGCACACGCACACACGCACACACGCACACGCACGCACACGCACACGCACACGCACATGCACGCACACACACACAACACACACACACACAGCGCACACACACGCACACGCAAACATACAACTTGAGTGTGTGTGTATGTGCGTAAAGGTCTATATTCTCATGTAGACCTCGGACGTGCGTGTGAGAGCGGGCGCGCTCGTCTGCTCTTGACCCTCTCCCTCCCTTTGCCCCCCTCCCCACAGTCCTTCCCCACCCCAAACATGCCCCTCCCCCTCAATCATACATCCCCCCCCCCCCCCGTGCCTCCAGGCCCGGCCGGAGCGCGCCTCACCTGGAGTCATTCTCGGCGTGAATGATAGTGCGCTCCTTGTAGTAGATCTCCTCCTCCTCCTGGTCGCACAGCAGGAGGACGACGGCGCCGAAGAGGAAGATGGCCGCGCCCCAGCCAACGCCGTAGGCCCATCCGAATTCCCACAGGGTGCGGTTTCCTGCGGGAGGAGGGAGCGCGGGTGAGATGTGGGGGGCGAGGGAGAAGGGGAGGGGGGCGGAGGAGAAAAAAAAAATGAGAGTGCGGGTGTGATGAGGGAGGGAGGGAGGGAGGGAGGAGGGAGGAAGGGAGGAAGGGAGGAAGGGAGGAAGGGAGGAAGGGAGGAAGGGAGGAAGGAAGGAAGGAAGGAAGGAAGGAAGGAAGGAAGGAAGGAAGGAAGGAAGGAAGGAAAGAAGGGAGGGAGGGAAGGAGATAGGGAGATGGGGATGTTATATATATATATATATATATATATATATATATATATATATATATATATATATATATATATATACATACTAGAGAGATAGAGAGATAGAGAGAGAGAGAGAAATAGATAGATAGATAGATAGAGAGAGAGAGAGAGAGAGAGAGAGAGAGAGAGAGAGAGAGAGAGAGAGAGAGAGAGAGGAGAGAGAGAGAGAGAGAGAGAGAGAGAGAGAGAGAGAGAGAGAGAGAGGAAAATATATCAGAATAAAAATATGGGTTAGAGGGATAGGAAATGGATTGCAGTATTTCCTGCAGGTGAATAGCGCGGGCGAAATGTCGACGATAGGTAGGGAGGAAAGGGGAGAAGAGAGAGAGAGAGAGAGAGAGAGAGAGAGAGAGAGAGAGAGAGAGAGAGAGAGAGAGAGAGAGAGAGAGAGAGAGAGAGAGAGAGAGAGAGAGAGAGAGAGAGATAGATAGATAGATAGATAGATAGATAGAGATAGATAGATAGATAGAGAGAGAGAGAGAGAGAGGAAAGAGGAGATAGAAAGTGGAGAAAGATGGACTACAAGTGTTTGTTTTTCTACGATCGAAAAGTGCGAATAACAAAGAGGAAAATAAAAGTGCGAATAAAAAGAGGAAACAAAAACAAATAAACAAGAAAAAGAGGTTTTCAACGACGGGATTTAAACGTACGACCGTTTAAATTATTCAGAAACAGAGTTATGCAAACTTCACAGCAATATTCAGTTTATTGTCACAAAGTTACGTTCAAGTTTATTCAAAAACATTACACATGAAGAAAATATTAATGCTAAACTAACCAAGTTCAAGTTCCTGCACGAAGAAAACTGGATACAGGATGAGGGCGACCAAGATGGCGATCACTGCAAAATGGGAGCAAAATTAGTATTCGTTTTTATCTCATAATATCTGTGTCATCTGCCTTGGATGGTCAGGTTTGGATAATAAAATAAAGAATAACAATTATCGAAAATAAGACTACATATACAAATACCAAGCAAATGTATTTGGCACACATACACACGAAAAAAAGATGAGGAATATCAACTTAACCCGCCCCACAGTTTAATATAAATTAAATATAATTCGAAACACAGCAAAGTAAACTTTACCCTCCTATCTACTTCCAATTTCAACTCTTCCCCGATTACGCCCCCCTATCATCATTAATTATTATCAATGATGATGATGAAGATAAAAATAATGATAATCATGATATAGAATAATGATCATGAAAATATAACTCTCACCTTCTCCCTTATCCTCCAATCTACATACCAAAGGAAATCCCATCTAACCCTCGAAAGACTAAATAAAAACATACCAACAATAATCATAAAAATAACACCACCAGTAACAAGAAAAAAATAAACCAAACCAAAACAACACCACCAGTAAAACAAATAAATAAACCACAAATCCACAAAACTAAAGCGAACTAAAACACCATCAGTAAAATAAACAAATAAATAAAAATAAATAAATAAACCACAAATCCACAAAACAAAAGCGAACTAAAAAACCGGAAGCAATACTCACGTGCAAGGGTCATGACCCAGACGGCGATGCGGTAGTAGCGCGTCTTGACTGCGGGGTCGTTGTTGTTGAGCCCCAGAGCCGTCATGAAGGTTGCGAGGACGTCCAGCAGGAGGCAGATCACACACAGGGCGGCGCTGGCCATGATGTATGATGTAGGCTGTGGGCGAGGGAGGGTTTCATTAGCCAGGTTGATTTGGGTTGATTTTTGGGTTGATTTGGGTTGATTTGGGTTGATTTTAAAAAAAGTGGTTATTTAGAGTGTGTGTTTTTTTAAATAATGTTTTGAGAGAGGGAAAGAGAGGGAGAGGGTGTTTATTTAGGGTGTGTATTTATTATTATGTTTTGAGAGAGGAGGGAGGGAGGGAGGGAGGGGAGAGAGGGGGAGGGAGGGGGAGGGGAGGGGGGAGGGGGAAGAGGGAGAGGGGAGGAGGGAGAGGGGGGAGAGGGGAGAGAGGGAGAAGGGAGAGGGAGAGGGAGGAGAGAGGGAGAGGGGAGAGAGAGAGAGAGAGAGAGAGAGAGAGAGGAGAGAGAGAGAGAGAGAGAGAGAGAGAGAGAGAGAGAGAGAGAGAGAGAGAGAGAGAGAGAGAGAGAGAGAGAGGAAAGAGAAGAGAAAGAGAAAAGAGAAAGAAAGAGAAAGAGAAAGAGAAAGAGAGAGAGTAAAGCCCAAGACCCACAAAATAATTAAAAGAGAAACACATTGACACGAGGCCAACGAGAAGCGAGACAGAATCGGACAGAAAAGTAACCTAATTTGGCGTTTGCTCAACTGATTGCACTCGAGTCTAAAGCCACAGTCAAACACACGGATTCGAGCTCATACGTCACTGCGTCGGATATGTATGCATGAGCTGGCTACAGACGCGTGTTCGTTTCCCTGCAGCTGAGTGCGTTTTGTATTGGTATTTAAAAGCATTCAACTTGGGTACAGCCGCAGGGGTACAGATGGTACAAAAAGTAATGCTGGAAGGTGGGAGTGGAAGGAAAAGGAGAGAATAAAATGGAAGAAAGGAGAGAGGAGAGTGGAGAAGAGGGAAATGGGGAAGAGGAAGAGGTACAGCTACAAGTAGAAGTAGAAGTAGAGACAGTGATAGAGATATAGGTAGAGGTAGAGGGATGAGAGAGGGAGGAGGGAGAGGGAGGAGGGGAGGAGAGAGAGAGAGAGAGAGAAAGAGAGAGAGAGAGAAAGAGAAAGAGAAAAGAGAAGAGAGGAAAGAGAGAGAGAGAGAGAGAGAGAGAGAGAGAGAGAGAGAGAGAGAGAGAGAGAGAGGAGAAGAGAAGAGAGAGAGAGAGAGAGAGAGAGAGAGAGAGAGAGAGAGAGCACTTAAAGCTCGTTGTTGCTAACAAACTCTAATCTACATTCTAACTAGGTCTTATATGCTGGTTCCCTTTAGCATATTGTAAGCGCGCACTCCAAATTTCTACAGAATTGCCCAGACCTCCCTCTTCAAAACTCATCTACATAGGCACACACGCACGTACATACACGAAGACACGTACATACACAGGCTACATACACAGGCAGTACATACACAGAACACACGTAATTACACACGAAAGAGACACACAGACACAGACAGACACAACACACACAGACACACACACACACACACACACACACACACCACACACACAACACACACAACACACACACACACACACACACACACACACCCACACACACACAGGTGTCAAAAGGCCTATTCCTCTCTCACTCTTGTTTTATTATTCCTCTACAAAATAGATTTTAGGATCGAACTTGTCGATACTGGTAAGCGAGGGCTTGGAAGATAAAAAAATGATGGTTTATTTCATGGTATGACGGGCGCTCCCTTTAGGTTAAACTGACTTGGGTTGGCTCAAGCATAATAGTTTTGGATCAGCTGACTGGGGCATTTTAACACATCGTTATTATTTTCCAAAACTTTATGTACGATCACGCTGGAAATTGGAAACAAAAAAAATATATGGATTACAGCCCTGACACGGAGGACATGATGTTGAAAATCGTTGGACATGTAGCACAATTTTGGTCGTAGTCACGGGCAGGTTAGCTTTCCTGATGCAGCCTATTCATTATTCCCTCGTTTTTCAGGGGAATAAAACTAAAACAGAAAGGTGCGACACCATCCATCACATGATTATATAACAGGTAAAACTCAATATATTTACCATGTGCAAAAGGGGAGGTGAAATGCTCAAAGGAACAGCCACAACCCAACGCAGACATCAGCTGATAATGACAACACGACCGCAAATCATTTCTAGAATAAATATTTGATGTTTGCAAGCAATACATGACAAGTGCTGGCTGGTTACCTGTCGAGATGATTGGCGCTGCTGTCGCCCTAAGCATTTTACCTTCCCTCGGAATTCCTTCCTTCTCTACGTAAGCATACAGACCTTCCTTTTTTCCCTCTTTATCACCCGTTTTCATAATTCGTCAACCAGTATCAACAAAAAAAGTTTATTCGTTAAATTACACACACGCACAGCACACGCACACGCACACAACGCACACGCACACGCACACCACACACGCGCACACACACACACACACCACACATCTTTACATATCCTTAAGTATTTTTTGCCATAGTATCTGTGAGAATTCGTAAGACTGAAATCTCAACGACGCAAAGAGAAAGAGAGAGAGAAAAAAAAAATAAGAATAAAAAAAACCGTTAGAAATAGAAAAAAAAGACCGTTATTTGTATGCCAGCCGCTCATCAGCTCCCAATGAATGCAATCCCAACATGTTATATATTCACAACATACATGCACATAGCGATTGTTATAATTATTGATACCTGACGCTTGTGTTAATTCTATCCAAAGCGCGTGTCACGATAGACAAAAAAAAAAAAAAAAAAATCTCGAACATTAAATATGGGAAACGATATCTGTGGATTTGAAATGCGTTAGTGTGTGTGTGTGTGTGTGTGTGTGTGTGTGTTGTGTGTGTGTGTGTGTGTGTGTGTGTGTGTGTGTGGTGGTGTGGTGTGTGTGTGTGTGGGAGTGAGTGAGTGAGTGAGTGAGTGAGTGAGTGAGTGAGTGAGTGAGTGTGTGTGTGTGTGTGTGGTGTGTGTGTGTGTGTGTGTGTGGTGGTGTGTGTGTGTGAGTGTGTGTGTGAGTGAGAGTGAGTGAGTGAGTGAGTGAGTGAGTGAGTGAGAGTGGAGAGAAGAGTGAGAGAGAGTGAGAGAGAGAGAGAGAGAGAGAGAGAGAGAGAGAGAGAGAGAGAGAGAGAGAGAGAGAGAGAGAGAGATGCAGCAGCAGTAATAATAGCGATATTAAGTAATCATACTACCTTCCTTTTTATGCTGAGTACTATGCTTACAAATATATTTTAATGATGAAATGACGAACGTTATCTGGGAAGCAAAAAATAATGTACACATATTTACCTGAATTCTTTCTGAATAGTTTTGTAATATATATAGATTTTTTTTTTTTTTTTTTTTTTTTTTTTTTTTTTTTTTTTACAAAACATGACAATTATATGTAATATGTGTTTATGTATGCATAATGTATGTATTTATGTGCGATGTATGTGATGTGTATGTATGCATGTATGTATGTGTATAGATGTGTGTATATGTTAATGTATGTAAATGTATGTATGCTAGCACGATGTATGTATGTGTATGTTGTGTAGTATGTACGTATGTATTATGTAATGCAATGTAAGTGTAGTATGTATGTATAGTATGTAAGCATGTAAGAAAAAAAAAAATACTTCCATGGTTCGTCAGGCACAACACTAAGAAGGAGCGAAGCGAGAATAGTCATATCAGGAATAATCTTCTGCTTTAATTCTTTGCCGGAAGAAAGGAGGAGAAGCTGGAAGAGGAGGAGGAGGAGGAGGATGAACAGGAATGAGAAGAGATGAGAATAAGAAATTGGTGATGAAAGGGAAGGAAATGGAGCACGAGGAGAAGGAAGGGGAGGTAGAGGAAGAGGAAGAGGAAGAGGAAGAGAACGAGGAGGAGGAGGTGAGAGATAAAAGGAAGGAGAGGAGAGCGAGAAGGATGGGAAGATAGAGGAAGAGGACAGAACAAGAGGAGGAGAACGAGAAAGGGAAGGAAGGAGGGGAGAGAGAAAGAGAGGAAGGAGAAGACGACGACAAAGAAAAAAGAATAAGCGAAGAGGAAGAAAAATACACGTGATAAAAGGTAAAGGGTAATGAAACCAAGACCAAAAGGAGGAAAATAATAATAAGGGAAAGGGAAAAAGAAGGTAGGAGGTAAAGAAGCCTCAAACAATAATAGCGAAAGAAAAAAAAAAAACGTTTCTATTTAGGAAATTTTTCTGAGGCATTCGAGAACCAATTTCTCAGATCGCTTAACTTTAAGAAAGGGGGAACGTTCCTGAAGGAGGAGAGAGAGATATGAGCAGAGAAAGAGAGAGGAGGGGGAGAGGAGAGAGAAGAGCAGAGAGAGAGAAATGAGAGAGGGGAGAAAGAGAACGAGAGAGAAGGAGAGAGAGAAGAGAGAGGGAGAGGAGAGAATGAAGGATGAGAAGGGTGAGGACAGAAGAGAAGAGAATGAGAAAGAGAAGAGAAGAAGAAGAGAAGAGATAGAGAAGAGAAAGAGAGAAGAGAAGAGAAGAGAAGAGAGAGAAAGAAGAGAGAGAAAGAGAGAGAAGAGAAGAGAGAGAAGAAGAGAAGAGAGAAAGAGAGAGAAAGAGAAAGAGAAAGAGAAGAGAAAAGAAGAAAGAGAAGAGAAAGAGAAGAGAAGAGAAGAGAAAGAGAAAGAGAGAAAGAGAAAGAGAAAGAAGAGAGAGAAGAGAAGAGAAGAGAAGAGAAAGAGAAGAGAGAGAAGAGAAGAGAAAGAGGAGAACGCAGAGAAGAGAAGAAGAAAGAGAAGAGAAGAGAATGAGGAGAGAGAGAGAGAGAAGAGAAGAGAAGAGAAGAGAAGTAGAAGAAGAGAAGAGAGAGAAAGAGAAAGAGAAGAGAAGAGAGAGAAAAGAGGAAGAAAAGAGGAAGAGAAGAAGATAAAAAGGAGGAAGAAAGAACAAGAAGTAAGAGACAAAGACAAAGACAAAGAAAGGGGAAGAGAGAGAGAGGAGGAGAGAGAGCGAGGCTTAGTACAAAGAATATGAGATCATGTATTGCACAAATCATATTATGCATATGTAATATCGTTAAATTTAGTGACTGTGAAACATTTTACATTTATTAACCGCGTTGTGAAATATTGGAGTCCGACCACATATGATATTCCATTTGTGTGTCTGTCTGTGCCTATCTTGTTTGTCTGTTAGCGTCTATCTATCTGTCTACTTACCGGTTTGTCAGTCTATCAGTCTATTTCCCTGTCTGTCAGTCTATTTTTCTGTCTGTCAGTCTATCAGTCTATTTCTCTGTCTGTCAGTATATTTATCTATCTGTAAGTCTATTTTTCTGTCTGTCAGTCTATTAATCTATTTCTGTCTTCCAGTCTGTCTAAATCTATTTCCCTGTTGTGTCTGTCTGTCAGTCTATTAATCTATTTCCCTGTCTGTCAGTCTATTTTTCTGTCTGTCAGTCTATTAATCTATTCTGTCTGTCCTTAGGTCAGTCTTAGTCTTTTCCCTGTCTGTCAGTCTCTTTTTTGTCGTCAGTATTGTTCTATCGTTCATTATTAATCTATTTCCCTGTTGTCATCTATCAATCTATTTATTGTCTGTGAATGTATCAGTCTATTTCCTGTCTATCAAGCCCATTTCCCTGTCTTTAAGTCTATGTCTATTCCCCCTGTTTGTCTGTCTTTTTGTCTGTTTGTCTCTCCGTGTTTCTCCGTCTTCCTGCCCGCCTCTCATGACATGCACAACCCCCCCCCCCCCAAAAAAAAAAAAAAAAAAAAAAAAAAAAAAAAAAAAACACCGGCGCCCACTCACCTTCATCCCTGGCCTTGTGGCATCCCGCGTCGGCGTTGATCTGGAAAGGCAGGGGCTTGGGCGCGCCCGGCTCCACACAGTGGTTGAAGAGGCCCTGGCGCCAACCCACCGCCAGCAGCCAGTCGGAAGAGGAGAGCGCTAGCACCATCAGGAAGGCTGTGATGAAGCCACATACCAGCGCGATCACCTGCGGGAGAGAGAGTGCCAAGGGGGGTTAGGGGCCTCTTATTTGGTTACTTGTTTGTTTACCTGTTTTGTTTGTTTGTTTGTTTGTTGTGTTGTGTTTGTTTGTTTGATGGTTTTTTACTTGTTTGTTTGTTTGTTTGTTATTTGTTGTTTTGCTTAGTTTACTTGTTTGTTTACTTGTTTGTGTGGTGGTTCGCTGGTTTGTTTGTTTCGAAAAAATGCAGTTCAAATAATAAATTGAATGCATCGGCTTCCAAAGAGTAAAGATTTACAAAACGGATAAAAAACAACAACAACAACAACAAAAAATGTTTTCAAACCAAAAGGTACCAATACCACGTTTCTGACTCAACTCATTATGTCTCTGGAAACAAGGCAATTAACAACGATCCATTTGTCGCTAAGTACCATTTCCGTTCACGTTCGCGCCCATTATTAAACAGCTAACAGATCACACACAACTTTATTTATTTTGATGCGCGGTTCATGTGCGTGTGTTTGCGTCCCGTAATTACATTTCTTAACGCAAAGACCAATTAATAAGGGAAAGGCTTTGAGTTATGCCACGAAATTTGATTAGATTTTCGCTGGGGAAAGGGCGGACGCACAGACGCAAACGCCCACGCCCACGCACAGACACAAACGCCCACGCACAGACACAAACGCACACGCACCGCACACGCGCAAGACAAGACAACGACGCCCGCACAGACACCAATTACCCCACGACGCCCACGCACAGCACAACGCACACGCACAGACAAACACGCAACACGCCACAGACAGGCCCACGCACAGACACAAAACGCCCCACGCCACGCACAGACAGACACAAAACGCACACGCACAAAACAAACGCCACGTACATTGAGAAACAAACGCCCACTCGGCACAGACACAAAGCATCAGCACAACACGCCAGCAAGTACACAAACGCCCACGCACAGACACAAACGCACACGCACAGACACAGACACAAACGCCCACGCCATCCACTAGACGGCACACGCCATACACGCATACACCCCACATACACCTTGGGACATGTATACGAAGGATATAATAGTATTAAAAATGCAAAGAAATGTGCAGAAAGGAATAGTACAACATATATTACCTATACATTCTGGAAATCTTTTTCCTGAATATCTGATCTACCTTCATAATTTAACATTATAAATAAGGTGTACATATCAAGTAGCCATTATCTAAGGCATATATATATATATATATATATATATATATATATATATATATGTGGGATGTTGTGTGTTGTGTGGTGTGTGTGTGTGTGTGTGTGTGTGTGTGTGTGTGTGTGTGTGTGTGTGTGTGTGTGTGTGTGTGTGTGTGTGTGTGTGTGTGTGTGTGTGTGTGTGTGGTGTGTGTTTGTGTGCATGTCGTGTGTGTGATATGTGCATGTAGTATGTAATGTATATGTATAGTGCATGTAATGTAAATACAACACACACACACACACACACACACAGTCACACACACACACAAACCGCACACTACACACACACAACACAACCCACACACACACAGAGCTTCCTTGAAAAAAAGAAGTTATATTCCACTCCAGACAGGAATAACTTTAAAGGCAAAGCACACTAAAGTCCGACAGCGTGGGAGAGAACAAGGGGCGGAGAAAGGGGGGGGGGGGCGGGGATTCCCCTCCTCTTACGCCAACCACACACAGACACGCACGTACCAGCATCACAGACCACACAGACACGCGCATATCACACGCACCAGACACCGCACATATCACACGCACACAGACACGAATATCACACGCACACAGACACGCACATATCACACACGCACACAGACACGCACATATGCACACACACACAAACACGCACATATCACACGTACGCACACAGAACACGCTCGTATCACACGCACCACAGACACGCTGGTAATGCACACCACACAACACCACATTAAGGTACATATCCGCCCCCCCCCCCCCGCTCGAATAAGAGAACGCATCTCTTGCCGTTCACAGTGCAGTCATCTGTGGGGTTTGCGTGTGTGCCGTGTGTGTGTGTAAGTGTGTGTGTGTGATGTGTGTCTGTGTGTGTGTGTGGTGCGTAATGTGTGCGTGTGCGTATGTGTGGCGTGTGCGTATGTGTGCGTGTGCGTATGTGAGCGTGTGCGTATGTGTGCGGTGCGTAAATGTGTGCGTGTGCGTGTGCGTATGTGAGGCGGTGGGTGCGTATGTGTGCGTGTCGCGTATGTGGCGTGTGCGTATGTGTGCGTGTGCGTATGAATGCGTGTGTGCGTGCATGTGCGTGTGTTCTGTACGTGTGTTTGTGTCTGTGCGTATGCGTATGAGTGCGTGTGCGTATGTGTGCGTTGCGTGTGAGTGTATTAGAAACGACCAAAAGCGCGCCGCCGGAAATCTCGACGGCCTCCCAGACATGAAACAGAAATCCCTCTCCATGAGAAATTCCTGATCAGGAATGAGACATAATCCCTCAAAGAAGAAGAGGGAGAGAGAGGGAGGGAGGGGAGGGAGGGAAGGGAGAAGAGGGAAGAGAGGGAGGGAGAGAAGGGAGGGGAAGGGGGGAGATGGGAGGGAAAAGGGGGAGGGAAGGGAGGGAGAGGGAGGGAGGGAGGAGGGAGGGAGGGAAGGGAGGGAGGGAGATAGGGAGGGAGGGAGGGAGGGAAGAGAGGGAGGGAGGCAGGGAGGGAGGGAGAGGGAGAGGGAGAAGGGAGAAGGGGGAAGAGAGAGGGAGAGAGAGAGGGATGAGGGAGAGGGAGAGGAAGAGGGAGAGGGAGAGGGAGGGAGGGAGGGATGGGAGGGAGGGAGGGAGGA